TGATGTGAATATTTTTTATAAAAAAGTTTTTTGGCATAAGACTGTCAAGCTTCATGGACATCTTTTTAATTACTGTTTTTTGGCTTCCCGTCAATCTTTTTCTAATACTCTGTATTACTGTTTTACTGATAAGCAGGCCTTCGGTAATCTCAAATTACTGGCCGGTTTACGATACTAAACCCATAAGGAGCGGGTTTGAGTCGTAACAGTAGGCATGAAATATGAGCCACAAACAGAATGGACTGATATACTGTAAATGACTGTTTTCAAATATTGAGGACATTCATTTTAAACCTCTTCACCGCATATGTTATTCACTGGGCTTATCTCACTGCTCATACTATATTATGTGGTGTACAAGGCACCAGACACGTTGCTAGGAGCGTTGGGCTAACCATCCGTTTTGGTCTAAAGCCATACCACGTGCCTCACTGCGAGGTTCCAGTCCTTTAATGCTAGCGTCTTTTGGGGTGTTTTAGCTTTTCCCCTTTTTGTATGTTCGTGGTTTTGTAAACTGTATAGCATATCATGATATGTGATCTGTACTGTATGTTTTTGGTAGGGAATTTGGTCCCAACCTGAATATCTGTATGATGAGTATGTACATTATTGTTATGGTTTGAATGTGAAGCAGTATAAGTTTCATAAGAATGTTACAGCTCATGTGGACATTTTAAATTAACGTTTTGGGCTTCGCGCCAGCCCTTAGGTGCCTTTGTATTACTGTTTTACTGTTATAGCAGGGCCTTCGGTAATCTCGGTAATTACTTGCCGGTTATGGTGCTAAACCCATAGGGACGGGTTTGGGTCGTGACACCGTGCTTTTTAATTCATGAATATCATAATAGGGCCTTTCTTAAATGAAGACCATAATTAGTAGAACCTATTTCCCAAACCTGAGCCCTAGTTTGTACCGGAATTCCTACCGACAACTATCTTCTAAATGTACCAAAACCACGCTTTCACTGTTTCCAGCGCCCCCGCTCCCCGCGGGAAAATTTGAAATAGCGTAAGACAACGCGCCGCGTCAGCTGTTGCACAAACCACGTCTTCTTCACACTCTCTTAGAAACGTGGTCACCCACAACCATTACTTCTTACCCTTAATTCATTAACACAATGAAATTCAATAAATATCATATTTGAATGTCCATTTTCCCAAACCATATGACCATCATCTACATAAAGAAATCTCTTATGCTCATAATTTTCTACCCAACAAATTCCGATACTTGACATGTTTATGATAACACACGTCTTCACTGGCTGTAACAAATAGAGTACAAAACGCACTCCGTGTGATATGAGTAGAAAAATACCAAGTAACAACCAGTGCTTATAATGAGATGCATAGCGACAAAGCTAAACTATGCAGACACAGCTACTCTCCACCACATCTCTCACATCTCTAACACTGTGTGGCATCTCTTACACTATTCTCCATCTCTCGTCTACTTCTATGTCGTGCGACATCTTCAGATTCATGCCTCTCTACATCACCAGCCAGCTCTCTACACTCTCACACACACAACACACACACACACACACACACAACAACACATACAGGCATACGTACAACACATTTATATCCTCTACAAACACAGCAACACATATGCTCAACATACACACACTCCAGAAACAGTCATAGTGATATATATAGTTTTAATAGTAGCCATTATTACTTATCATGTTAAAAACGATTATATATTATAAATTTTATGTTCTATTAAAACTTGAAATCGATATATCCTACATATAGTATAGAGTATAAATTTATAAATTCTTAGGCACAGTGAATAATCAAGCATATATATACAAATGATTACTTTTTTATTCTGTAGATTCTTAATTTTTATATTTACTGTTTAGGGTAAAATTTATTTTTTTTAATTTTACCGGTTAAGGTTTAATTCTTATTATTTTTTTTTTTAGGATTTAGGATTTAGGGTTATGCATTTATAAAAATCAGAATATAAATTTTAAGAATTTAAACTATAACATTCTAAAACCCTAAAGTATCCATAAAATAAAAATAAATAAATTTTAAGAATTAAACCCTAAACCCTAAAATAAAAATAAATAAATTTTATCCCTAAACACTAAGATAGTGTTTGGTAACATTTACGTTTTTGGTTTATGTTTATAAAATTTTTATAAACTGGTTTCTGTTTGTTTTTAGAAAAACATAAATTACAAACTTGTTAAGTTTGAACAAAATGTTTAAAAAAAATTTAAAACATAAACTAAAAAAATATGTTTGTTCAAGCCTAAAATATTTATATTTATATTTATTATTTATGACAATGGGATTACACATATTATAAGTGAAAAAATATTAATTAAAAAAAATATTTGAAAAAAATTTAATTGGAAAAAACGAATCCCATTGTCATAAATAATAAATATAAACCACGTTTTTTTTCAATAATTTTTACAAACCACGTTTTTTCCAATTAAATTTTTTTCAAATATTTTTTGTAATTAATATTTTTTCACTTATAATATGTGTAATCCCATTGTCATAAATAATAAATATAAACCACGTTTTTTTTCAATAATTTTTACAAACCACGTTTTTTCCAATTAAATTTTTTTCAAATATTTTTTGTAATTAATATTTTTTCACTTATAATATGTGTAATCCCATTGTCATAAATAATAAATATAAACCACGTTTTTTTTCAATAATTTTTACAAACCACGTTTTTTCCAATTAAATTTTTTTCAAATATTTTTTTTAATTAATATTTTTTCACTTATAATATGTGTAATCCCATTGTCATAAATAATAAATATAAATATAAATATTTTAAGCTTGAACAAACAGATTTCTTAGTTTATGTTTTAATTTTTTTTTTAAATATTTTGTTCAAACCAAACACGTTTGTAATTTATGTTTTTCTAAAAATAAACAGAAACCAGTTTATAAAATTTTTATAAACATAAACCACAAACGTAAATGTTACCAAACGCTACCTTAGTGTTTAGGGATAAATTTTATATTTTTATATTTTAGGGTTTGGGGTTTAATTCTTAAAATTTATTTATTTTTATTTTAGGATTTAGGGTTTATAATTTATAGTTTAATTCTTAAAATTTATTTATTTTTATAAATCCTAAACCCTAAAAAAAAAATTTTAAGAATTAAACCTTAAACCCTAAAATAAAAAAATAAAAAATTTATCCCTAAATAGTAAAATAAAAAAAAATTAAGAATTAAAATAAAAAATTAATCATTTTATATAGTTGATTATTATTTGCTATTATAAATTATTATTATATATATTTAATATTTATTTTAATTTTATGAAATAAAATTTATATATATATTAAATTATAAATATATATTAAAATTTATATATATATATATATTGAGTGTGAGTGTGTGTGTGAGTCATGTGTGTGTTTGTGTCAGAGAGAGAGAGAGTGTGTGAGTGTGTGTGTGAGTCATGTGTGTGTTTGTGTGAGAGAGAGAGAGAGTTTGTGAGTGTGTGTGTTTGGTGTAGCATTGAAAGCGTGGTTTCTAACCACGTTTTCTTCACAACACAGTGAAAGCATGGTTAGAAATCACGTTTTTTGAAAGAAAAAAAAAAATTATTTAAAAGCGTGGTTTGAAATCACGTTTTATGATTAACTTAAAAGTGTGGTTTGTAATCACGTCTTCTTAATTAAAAGCGTGGTTTGTAACCACGCTTTTATTATTTCACAAATTTTTTGCGGGAGGGGCCTGGAAACAGTAAAAGCGTGGTTTGTAATAGCGCTTTAGCCTATTTTGAAAATTCCGTTCAAATTAAGCCTAATTTGAAAAATAGATTACTAATTTGGCTTAATTTGGAAAAAAACCCCCATAAGTGAAGACTACCTTATTTTGGTTTTTCTTCTCAAGGACAATCATAGTTGCCTTCATTACGAAAAATGAATGCCAAAAACAAAACAAAAAACACAAAATATTGTGATTTTCGGCATTCTATAATATTTACGATATTATGTGCAAGTTACATGCCAAATTTTTGTTTATTGATGTAATGGATCCTTAACATAATGTTTACATTGATATAAATTGATAATTCAATATAAAAAAGATATAGTATTTTTTAGTTGAGAAGGGTAGAATGATATTAAATAATAGTTTATGGAGTAAAGTGATACCAGACAAAAGTTGAGAGGTAAATGTAATTTACCCTAAAAAGAATAGTGTATTTACATGGAGACTCCAATTGTCAAGTATCGCTTTAACTCCTTAAATTTAAAAAATGCACAAACAAACTACCTAAAATATTGATGTTGTATAACCACTTATCAATGTTAATAGAACATGTTTAATTACTAAAATATCCCACACTCCCGGTATCATTTTACCCACTAAACTATCATGAAGTATCATTTTACCCGATGAACTATAGAAGTATACAATTAACCCTTTTAACTATTAAATTGTCACATACATAGCCTGATGTCATTAATAAAAATAATTAAATAGCCAAATTGCCTCCTCTTTTTATATTAACAGACTTTTTCTCTCTTTGAAATTCATAAAATATTATTGCAATTTATTTTTATTATTATTATTAATAACCCCCCCTCCTATTTCTGTACCCTTATCTCCCCCAGCCATTTAAAAAAGAAAAAAAAAATATTTAAAAAAATTGTAATAATTTCTAAGAAATTTCAAAGAGATAACAGGTATGTGAGATACAAAAAAGATGAGACAATTTGGTCATTTCATCATTTCCATTAACAATATCAAAGAATGTGTGACCATTTGATTCTTGAAGGGCGTAATTGTACGTTTATAATTTAAAGATTAAAATGATATTTCATAATAGTTTAAAGAATTAAAATGATATTTTATGATAATTCATGGGATCTCACTACTTAGTAATAAAATAATTAAAATCATGGTGCATGTCTAACACACTGCTGAGAGAGAGGCACAAAACAGAGAGAGCTAGTGAGAGCTATTTTCTGTTTGTCAGAGAGTGTGAGAGAGTGTGTTATATAGAGAGACAGTGAGTTGAGAGTGTGTAATCTCCTCCATTTGTTGATATATAACAACATCGCTCCCGTGGACGTAGGCCGGTTTGCCGAACCACGTTAAAACTCTTGTGTTTTTGCTTGTGAGTGTCCCCTGGTGTGCCCACGATCCGCAACACCTTGGCCTATCAGTGATTCGAGTGTACCTTTTGATCTATTCATTTAGGTTATTTACACAAAAACTCTTAAATTATTATTAAATATCACTTTAACTTTTTAAACTTTAAAATTATCACTTAAAATTTTAAACTTAAAAAAATAAAATAAAATAATTATTAACTTATTGACTTATTTAGATTATATCATCTCTCTAATCTATATATTATATAAGAAAAATGATATTTTTAGTGAGGAGTCTCGTGAGAGTTTCAACATCTCATATTAATTTTCTTAATCTTAAATAATTAAAAAAATTTCTATTGACTAACTTTTATTTGATAATTTCACATCGGGAAAAGAAAAAAAAAATATGAGTTATTTTACTCATATAAAGGGAATTATATACTCCCATCCTATTTAGTGAGAAGCCTTATAATCAATATTTTTTTTTTCTTAATTTTAAACAATTAAGAAAATCTCTATTGGTTGGCTTCGATTTAACTTTTATTTTACAATTCCACATAGACGTTTTGATTTTGAAAATAATTTTGTATAAGATTATGAAACTCTCATAATATTTAACTTAAAAATAATTACAATCCCACATCGAAAAAAAAATAAAAAGTGAGTTATTTTACTTATATAAAGTGAATCTTATACTCTTATTTAACATTATAGTATTGTGTATGTTTCAGTTCAAGATAGTTTAAAATAAAATTTAAAGGTTTTAATTAATTAATTTGTTGTAAATTGGTTGGTCTTTTGACTTAGCCGATTCAATTGAATCGTTTTCGGTTTGCCTGATTCATTGGTTTAACCACGGTTTTAACTGTTTTGTCAAAATATATTATTTAGATTTGTTTGATTTAAAATAAACTAGGATTGACCTTATCAAAAATTGAACGACTGAAACTGCTTAATTAGAAATGAATTTCCCGTCCAAACAACAATTAACTTTTATTTTACAATCCCACATAAGGAAAAGGAGGAAAACATGAGTTGTTTCACTATATAAATCTTATGTTCTCATTTAATATTGTAGTATTGTGTATGTTTCAGTTCAAGACAGTTTAAATTTTAAAATTAAAATAAAATTTATAAGTTTTAATTAATTAATATTTGTGTATAAGTTGGTTGGTCCTTTGACTTAGCTGATAGGGTGAGCTGTTTTCGGTTTGACTGATTTGCTAGTTTAAATGCGGTTTTAGCAATTTTATCACAATATATTGGTTAAATTTGTTTGATTCGAAATAAATTAAAGATTGACCTAATTAAAGATTAAACGGCTAAGATTGTTTGATTCGAAATAAATTTTCCGCCAAATAATTGTTAACTTTTAGACAATTATCCCTATTGGTTGACTTTCATTTAACTTTTATTTTATAATTCCACATTGAGAAAAGAAAGAAAAAGTGAATTGTTTCACTTATATAAAGTGAATTTTATACTTCCATTTATATAAACAAAATGAAATTTTTAGTAAGAAACCTTCTGATTAATATCTCATACTAATTTTTTTGATTTTTTTAATTTTAAACAATTAAAAAAATTTCAATTGACTAAAAAAATTAAATATAATTATTATATTTTTATTAAATAATATATTATTTGATATGCTAGGTTTTTATATATTACGAGATGACCTGTTATAATTACACTGGTATCGGGGAACCTTTATACACACGAGATGACCTGTTATAATTACACTGGTATCGGGGAACCTTATACACAAGCCTGAGTTTAATTTCAATGACAAATTGCATTTTGGGTGAACCTTTATTATACATTGGGGAATCACAGAATAGTGGAGCAATTTTTTACAAAACCATGGGGTGCCAGGCAAAAACTGTGCGGGTGTAACTCACAGTGCGGCTGCCAAACAAGAAGCAATGAAACACCACACAGCAGCATCTGCTTCGTCGAAGAATCCCGTTAAGTTCAGGATGTAAATTTCCTTCTCTCTCTCTCTCTCTCTCTCTCTCTCAATTTTTCTTATTATTTTTACTATTAGGGTTTAGTTTCTTCTTGAATAAACTTTATCAATTGAAGAAATGGTCGTTTTGCTCGACGAATCCCTTTCCAATGGTAACATTACCTCTTTGGAACGCAGTCCAACCGCTGATAATTTAGTTCCAATCCGTCTGGACATCGAGATCGATGGTCAGAGGTTCAGAGATGCGTTTACCTGGAATCCTTCTGGTATTCAATCTCTCTCTTGAACTTCATTACCCTTTTCCCACTCTCAATGTTACTTTACTGCTTTCGTTGTTGCTTTGTTTTATCATTATTATTGTTTTTAGTTAGTTGTTCCAATCTACTTTTCAAATTCTGCTTTAATTGGTTCCTACATTGGAATGGATGGGTGAGATGAGGTGAGGTGTAATTGATATACATTATCCAGTGGACATGTTTCATATATTTGGTTATCAAAGAGTTTCTCTGTTTTTGTGAAAATAATGCAACGAGGCCAAATAAATTATGCAACTCTGGAATATGATAATGAAGTTGCATATGAATGTTTTTCTTGTTCGTTCCCTTTTGTGTTGTTTTTTTTTTTTTTTTTATTTTTGTTTTTGTTTTTGCGATATAAGTCCCAATATGAGTTGTTGGTCATTGAAGATCTATAAAATTCTCTTTTACATCCAATGGACTATTCGGACCTGCTTTTGAATATTATAGATCCAGATTCAGAGGTGGTTGTATTTGCAAGGAGGACAGTTAAAGACTTAAAGCTTCCTCCAGCATTTGTTACGCAGATTGCTCAATCCATTCAAGTAAGTGAACAAGTAAAACACCAAATTTAAAAGAAAATAAAAAAACTACTTCACTATCTTATTAATGTTTCTTTTCAAATTTGAATTTTTGCAGTCACAGCTGACAGAATTTCGATCTTTTGAAGGGCAAGATATGTACACTGGGGAGAAGATTGTCCCCATCAAGGTATGTCTTAGTTATCACATAATGCTAGTTGCTTTTTTTTTTTTTATATATATATTTATCTTGCTGAACTTTCTTCCTTCTGATATTTGGTCATTAACATCAAGGTTATGAGTGGTGTCGATTGACCCCACTCAACTTTGAAAAATATTTAATACCTACATAGTGTCATGCAAAATTTTAGGGTGATTCCATAAATTGACTCCATAGAATCGTTTACATATATATAGATATCCTTTTTCTTAAATTGTTGATCTATACATGATTCATTTAGGCAAATTATCAAACACTTAGTGATCTATTCAACCAATTTCCAAACAATCAATCAATTGACCAATTCATGATTTGATCTCTGTCAATTCACAGGATTTTAACATGGAAAACCTCCCAGTTGAGATGAAAAACCACCAGCCAATGGCTGCAAATCAATCCACTGTATAACCCAGTGTTATTAAAGGCGCGCCTAGGCGTGCGCCTAGGCCCAAGTCCCATCCAAGCCCAAGGTTTACGCCTTGTAGTGTTCCAGGCCACACGACTTCAATAAGGCGTGCCTAGGCGTGTGCCTAGGCCCAAGTCCCATCTAGGCCCAAGGTTTGCACTTTATAGTTTTCAGGCCAGGCGAATTCGATAAGGCACACGATTGGTCCAAGGCGCATTAAGGGCCAGGTCTTGAGGGCTTTTTTTATTGTTACTTTAATTAGTTTTGTTTAAAATTTGACCATTGATTTAAGATGATGTAGTTACAAAAGATCCCTACTCTTATTACATATACCAATTATAACTGAATGATTACAAAAGAAGTGTTACAATGGGACGGTGAATCATATCGTTTAATTCCAAGTCCTTTTCTTACTAGGATATTCTTGTGCAATGTGACCATACCCTTGACCTTCATAGCATTAATTCCAAGTCCTTTCCATTCTTCTCAGTTTTAGAACCAATTTTGATCTTGTCATTACTTTTGTTCTTTTCTTTTGAGTTGATTCTTTGAAATTAATCTTCTTTTTTTGATTATTTTTTTGAATTGCGTTATAATTAGAATCATCATCTCGGGATCAAACTCAATTTATCAATGGACTTCTTTGCATCCCATATGAGAAATTGAAAGCAACACTCTGTTGTTTCTTAGATAGAAGCAAATTAGTCACATAATTTTTTTTCCTCCAGTAGAATAAAAGAATTTCATTAAAAGAGAAAGTTTACATAGTACAGACCAAGGCAAAGCTAATGAAGCCAAAAACAAAACATAAAAGCCAGACCAGTTCGGCCATGGTAGCAAGCATCAAGGCAGAGACAAATCAGTATCCCTAGCGGAGGAAAATTAGCAGCTATGTAGAGTGCTAAGTCGGGATAACATGAAGTAGCCCTTCACATGCTAGAGAATGAGCTGCCTTGACTTCCAACCGCTAAATTTTTGAGATACAATCTCCTCCAAAAGAAAACGGTCGCCTATCAATTGCAAGTTGCTGTTGAAAGAATTATTTTGAAACAATCACTAACCGATCGATTGCCTATCGATCTCTGCATTTTGTTTGAAAATCAATTTCAAGCGATCCTTGACTGATGGATCACCTTTTGATCACTTGCCACTGTTGAAGGTGGGATCGATTGCTCTTAAGAGGGATCGATTGCCAGGATAAGGCAATAGAGAATTAAGTGGGAAATCCACCTGAGGAACAGTGACCATTACCCACCCACCACTTGACTCCTTGGTTGATCAGATCCGTACCATAAAGGTGTCTTTTCCAAGCCCATGAGGAGCCAAAAGAAGCATTTCCATGGAGTCGATTATAGTGAGAGCAATATTTGGGCACTTTTGAGATGGATAGATTCGGGTTAGAGAGTAACCTCCAGCATTGTTTGCCCAAGAGTGTTCGTATGGTGAAAATCCCAAAGACCAAGTACCCCCTCCATCTTTGGAACACAAAGAATGAACCAATCCAACCAGTAATTTGGTTTTTTGTCACTAGTGCTCCACCAAAAGGATGCGATGCAGGATGTGAGGTTATCACAAAGACCAAAAGGAATTTTGAAGGTGGTACAAAGAGAGTTAGGTAAAGTAGAAAGAATAGATTTGACCAAGAGTAGCTTTCCAGCTTGAGATAGAGTAAGTGCTTTCCACCCTTGAAGCTTCTTGTGAAAAGGTATCTAAAATGTAACGGAAGCACTCTTTTTTGTTAGAAGCAACTCTAAGAGGGAGCCTGAGGTAGTGATCTGCTACCACTTTGAGAGGGACAGGAAAGAAAGCCTTGAATAAATGTGTGAACCAATCAGGGACATTAGGGTTGAAGATAATGTATGACTTTTGGAGAATAACACATTGCCTTGAGACATGACTAAAGCTTTCTTTGGCATCATAGAGGACAGCACTACTTCGAATAGAAGGTTGAAAGAAAATGAGACAATCCTCTACAAAGAAAAGATGGGTATGGGGAGGCTATGCTGACTAAGCTTGGTGCCAACACATAGGTTGGATGAGTTAAGGTGATTAATGTAACATGAGAAAGCCTCAAGAAAAGGAATAAATAGATTAGGTGAGAGGGGATCACCTTGATGTAGGCCTCATAAGTTTTAAGATTACAAACCAATTGTTCCACATCGAGTTTGTCAATGTTTTAAATTTTTTCTATTGCGGTAGCCTTTGGTTGGAATCTTTCTGGCAATGATCTCAATGTTTCTAACCACCTTTTCACTTTGGTATTCTCTCTCCTAGGTTGAAACTTAAATTGACAATATCACTCAACTTGGTATAAATGTCAATCAAAGAACTCATTTTCTCCCATCCTTTGAAACTTAAATTGACGATGTCACTCAAATTGGCATGAAAATCAATCAAAGAATTCATTTTCTTCCGACCTTAAGGTTTCAAAACTAGTAGTGATCTTTTGATGTTTGAATGCTTAATGGTTTGGGCTATGAAGCACAAGCACAGATACGGATACGGGATACAGCGATTTCAAAAAAATGGGGACACGGCGGGGGACACAACAAATTATTATTATTATTTTAAATATATATGTTACGCATTTGCTATGTAGATTAATTTTATATTACCAAACAATCAAAATTAATAAAAACTAATATTAATTTAATGTGTACATAAAGACCATTACATTTAAACATTATAAACATATGTTCTATATATTGTAAACATTATATAAAGAAAAAAATTAAATTAAAATATACATTATATATATATGTATATATCTAATCTAATCATAAAATAAATAAAAAAATAAAGAAGAAAGAAGACAAAGAGAAGAGATATAATATATATAAACTAAAATATAATATATATATATATATATAAATAAAAATAAAAATTAAAATAAAAATATCTGATCAACAGAGAAGAGAGAGAAACAAGATAGAAGAGAGAGAGACGAGAGAGATGGCAATCGATTGAGAGAGAAGAGATAGATGAGAGAGAAGAGAGACAGAGACGAGAGCTTTACTACTTACCAGGTCATTCGGTGATGGAGATTGACTGAGAATCGATGAAGAAGAAGACGGTGAAGAATCGAACAAAAGACACTCACCAGAGGGACTATTCGTCGCCTCATGTTGCCGGAGAGCTTCGTCTCGTTGTATCGCCGGAGGGCTTCGAAGGCAGTCGAATCAGTTCTGTTTAAGTTTGCTGAAGTGAAGAGATTCACGCACAACAACAAACAAAACCTAGGTTGTATATATTTTGTATTATTACAAAATAACCCTCTCATTTTTTTTTAAATATTACACTTTGACCCCAAATAAATATAACAAAATTGAAAATGAGTCCCACTGTGTCCCATGTCGTGTCTCGATATGAACATGCATGTCCCTACACTTATATGCTTAATCTTACTTTAGTATTCAGGTGATGTGGAACTTAGCTTCACAACACCATCCTTGGTAAGAGTAGGTTTTTTCCATCCATGCACAACAGATTGCCAAACTTTGTCATCAATAGCTTTTAAAAATGCTGTCATTTCAGCTTTCCAATGTGAATAGTTGGGAACCCTCAAGGAGTTATGGTCTGATAGTTAAATTGCCTTCTTTTATAGAATCCATGAATATATGAATGAACCGAACCTCGCTCGTATTCTCATTCGTAGAGCTTTGAAAAACAAAGAATGAGTGACCCACTATGATGCCAATTGAAAATCCCTTTTTCTTAAATGGTTGATTTATACTTGTGATTCAATTAGGTAAATCATCAAACACTTGATCAATTCAAGCGATCTCCAAGCCAGCCAATTAGTTGACTAATTCATGATTAGATCCATATCAATTTCTAATTGAGATGAAAAACCACGGTCCAAAGGCCACAAATCAATCCACTGTATAAACAAATGATTACAAGAGAAGTCTTAGAATTGAATGGTGAGCTTCACCCAACGGACTTAGGGTTCTGTAGCTGCATCTGTGTTCATTGCTCTCTTAGGGATTGATCCAAGAACACTGCCGAATCCATGACAGTCAAGCTACATCTGGAATCCACCTAAAGTCTTTGCTCTTGCCTTTTGGAATCAACCAAAGTCTTCGTTGTCGGATGTGAATTTGATGAAGAAATACCTTTAAGATGGTCAAACCATGCTTGGTGATCAAGAGATAATTTAATCTTCTTCAAGGATTGAGTAATTCTCTTACTAGACCAGTTCTGAGGAGTTTTTGCATATCTATAGAGTGAAACTGAAGGGCTTATATTTGAAATTGATCATGATCTGCACTTTCTAACCAACTTAACTGACTGGGACTGCTCATTTCGTCACTTCATCGCTTGATCGATGAATTCAAACTCTTAGTATTTTGTAACAAGCTCTGATCCAATAAAGTGAAAATCACCTCTGGACAACTACTCGAACAGTGGTCACAAGCTCACTGCAACAAGTATAATTACAATAAAAGAAAAGATTACAATTGAGAATATGTTTGTCAAATGGGATTGCCAAAACTAAGTACTAACATGTATGTATGTATGTATGTATGTATGTATGTATATATATTTACATATTTATATACAATCAGGGTCAATTTTTTGGAAAACAAAACGTAGCTATCCCCCTAGAATTGTAATAATAATAAAAAAAAAAAAAAGAAACTAATTGGCAATGTTAAAATGAAAAAGAAACTTAAGATCCCATTGCCTATAAAATTTATCGTGTGAAATTGAGCATAAAATGTTGATTATTTATTGAATTTGTTTTGAAATTGTTTATGGAATTCAACTAAAACCTAGGAAAATTGTTAATATTATTTTTTTAATGAATTTGTTCTGAAAATTTTAATTATTGATGGAATTAGGCCAAAATTGTTGGGCAATTTGGTGAAACTAAGTGAAAATTGATATACAATTATTGGGGAAATTACAAGGTTTGACCTTTGTAACAAAATAAGTTTTTAATTTTTTCAATTTAAACTCTAAACTTTGAATTGTTTTCAATCTAAACTATTTGCCTATTTTCGTTAAGTAAAGTCAATATTTTAAAACTCAATGAAAATGATATTTTAGACATTTTATGTATATGTACATTGAGTTTATTGACTAAAATACTATTTTTCCGTCAGTTTTATTTAACAAAAATAAGCGAATGGTTTAGATTGAAAATAAATCAAAAGATTAGGGTTTAAATTGACAAAATTGAAAATTCAGGGTTTATTTTGTTACAAGGCTAAAACCTTGGCGTTTTTTTTTTTTTTTGGTAATTGTCCCAAAATTATTTGATTAGTTGATGAGTCTTATGTTGCAACTATCAATTATTTGGTACAATGAGTTGGAATTTAGTTGTAATCAAGTGAAATTGTTGTGTTCGATGAATTTAGGTTGAAATGGAATTATTTATTGAAGGAATAGCATCAATGTCATAAAGTTTTTGGGGGGGGGGTACATGTAATTTGAAAAGCTCGCATTAATTTTCTTGATTTTGTTGAAAATATATGATATTTTAATGGTGTTAAAGTTGATGTTGATATGTTCTACATATCTAAAAATTTGATTTTTATAATTATTTATGAAATGGCCCCACTAATTAACATGCAAAATTATAGTTTTATTGGTGCTTATTCTTCTGTCTCCTTTCCAGCTTGATCTTCGAGTGAATCATACGCTAATAAAGGACCAGTTTTTGTGGGTAAGTTTGATTAGAGAGTTAAGTATTCATAGGTGTGGAAATAGGATTGTCCATGTTTAATAGTGAATGTCTAATGCTTTTGGATTTTACATGTTCTACATTGTTGGTGCTATTGCACATTTTGAATTAAATTGATTGCCAGGACTTGAACAACTTTGATTGTGATCCAGAAGAATTTGCAAGAACATTCTGCAGAGATTTGGGTATTGAAGACCCTGAAGTTGGAGTAAGTAAAGCAAATTAACCATATCATTCGTAGACAATCAAATTGTTTTGGTTGACCCAATGTTTTCTTTTACTTGTTTATATTTGTGCTTAAACGTAGTTATTTGTGTGCCAACAACTTGTGTATTGTGAGGCACCAACCCCCTTGGCCAAGAAGGAAATGGTAGAAACAAAAAACAAAAAAGACAAAACCCACAGTTTCTGTGTTGTTACTTAACAGTTAGCATCAATCGAGCGAGGTTGATTTGGGCTGTGTGTGTCTCAAGCTCATCTTGAACAAATTTTCCTGAGTTCAGATCATCCCATGTGAACCTCATTATCCCTAGTCTAAGCTTGGCCCATTTCACAAAAGGGAGTTGGAATGCATTCCTTTACAATTTCTCTTAAAATATTGGTGTATAAAACAAAATTTAAAATCCTGATGTAGAGCACAAGGTTTGAAGCCCGGACTTCATCATTGTATTTTAACTTTGGAAGCAAGTACTCAACCACCAAACCTATAATTATTTAGAGAAATGACAAAATTTAGGATTTTCTTGTCTCAGTGGCTTTTCTTTTATTTCTTTGGGATCATATGTTTGAGTGGTAATATCCCAGTCTTGCTAGGCATTCGAACATCAGAGCCCTAGCCTGCTAGGCACGACAATCAAGTAAGCCCTAGCCTTGTTAGGTATTGAGAAGTTAGTCTTGCTAGGCATTTGAACATCAAAGCCTTAGTGTGCTAGGCAGGGCTGTCAAGTAAGCCCTAGACCTGCTAGGCCTTGAGAAGCAAGCCCTAGTCTTGCTATGCATTCAAACATCAAAGCCCTAACTTGCTACGCATGGAAGTCAAGTAAGCCGTAGCCCTGCTAGGTATTGAGAAGTAAGCCCTAATCTTGTTAGGCATTCGAGCATCAAAGCGCTAGCTTGCTAGGCACGACAGTCAAGTAAACCCTGAGATGTAAGCCCCAACTTGCTAGACATGGAAGTCAAGTAAGTCCTAGCCCTGCTAGGCATTCAAACATTAAAGCCCTGGCTTGCTAGACATAAAATTTAAATGAGCCCTAGCTTCTTAGACATTCTTTATGAATTACATGGCTTGACTAGCGCTTTGGGATTAAAACCTATATCAGTTGGCATTCTTTATCAAGGGTCTTCTTCATAAAAAATTTGGTACCTGCTGGAAAGTCTAGCCAAAGGCCTAACTTGGCTAGGCATGATGTGAGAGGTACCCGTGCCAACATGACACGACACGGGTACGGGTATGGGTGCGAAATGCGGCCGGGATACGGCTAGATACAAATGGATGAGGCTGAAACTCAAAGATGGAGAGAGAGAGGGCTGAAACTCACCTTTGTGAAGCAAGTTGAGTGGCAAAGCAAGATCGAAACGTGAACCCTAGTCGTGAGGTTGACCAAATTAAAGGAGATCATCGTAAAGTCAATTCCACCCAGAAAATGATCCTAGGGCTTCGATTCCCCTTTGGTCTCGGTCTCTCTCTCTCTCTCTTTCTCTTCTATGTTCTCTCTGTTCCCTTTCTTGATCTTAGTCTGCGTTCTCTCTCTCTTCTTCTTTTTGTCTTCTCCTCTTTCTTCTTTGGTCTCTTCTTTTAAATTAGATATATATTATATAATATAAATTAATATAATAATATATAATATTATTCATCTAAAAAAATATTATATAATATAATATAATTTTTATTCCTAAAATAAAAATAATTTATTTTATCATATATAATATAATTTATTTTATACCTAAAATAATTTTTATTTGTTATTTATATTTTATTTGTTATTTTTTTAAATAAATTTGTTATTCCTTAAATTTTTTTTAACCCAACTTCATATAATAAATATATTTTAAAAATAATTATTTAACGTATTTCCGTACCCGTATCCAAATTTGGATCTATATTCACGTATCCTTAATTTTTAATTTTGAAATGTCTGACTCCTAAATACACACTTGCACCCGATACCCACACCTGAGTCCGTGTAATGTAGCATGGTATTCAGACATCACATGAAGACATGAGGAGCACATGGTTGTAGTACCTAGCATCCATGTATCACTCCAACCAAGCAACAACATGTTTGGCCATCATAGCAGCATCTCCTCCTCTTCTAGATAGATTAAAGAGTGAAAGTTGGGGAGCAATTGTGAGACACAAGGATCGCCATGGTCTTGACCCATATAAGTTAGTAAAATGGGCCAGTCCAACCAAGATGCCCACCAAATAATTGCATTAGGGCAAAGCATCAACCACTATATAAATAGGGACCTCTCCTAGAAGACCATTCTTAGAAACTGTAAAGCATGGATACTCCAAAATGGGCAGCGTACGAGTATCGAATACTTCTTGGATACAGATACGCGTTCGATACGCCAGGATATGTATTGGATACGGGAAAAAAGTATCCGATTTTTGTTTTATTTTTTTTGAATTTTGGATATGTTTTAGATATGCATGGATATGTAGGAGATATGTTCCGGATACTTTTGGGATACGGCGGGGCAGAAAATGTAATTTTCTAAACTTTTTTGTGGATCAAATCGTAAAAAAATAAAAATAACACAAATTAGATTTAGATCCCTCAAGGCTCAAATCCACAGGTAAATAAGAAATCGAAGAAATTGAAAAAGAAAAAACCCTAACCTTACCTCAAATACACAAATCCAAAAAGTTTGGAAGCAAATCAAGCAAGGAAGGAAGAACTCTAGTTGTTTGATCTCGTTTTTGTCTTGATTGACCACAGTGCAACAGGTTTCTCTCTCTCTCTCGTTCTCTGTCTCTCTTATTCTGTATTTGCTGATCCACCCCCCCCCCCCCTTTTATATTACTCTTTATTATCTATTATATATATGTATTTTTGTGGGTTTTGGATTTTTTTAAGTGAAGTCTTTGGATTAATATTAAGAGGTTTAATATTGGATTTTTTTTTGCTTTAGGTTTTATTTTCATGCTTATTACATTAATAAATTTAAAATAATAAATAAATTTACAAATGTATCCTCGCCATACTTGTATCTTTCTTTTTCAAATTTTGGCGTATCGCCGTATCTGTATTGTATCGTACACAAATCCCGTATCCGTGCTTCCTTGCTTAGAAAAGAAGGTATGCCCTAAACTCTGCACATGACAGACCACCCATGGTTCTTTTTCTTTCTCTGATAGGTCCTTTATAACTTAGCCATCGGAGTGCCCTCCTATTGGAAACCACTGGTCGGATCGCATTAATGGTGTTTTATTTTGCAGATTCACATGGCGAAGCTCATCTCTTTCTTGAATCACTCCATCCAAGGTTCTGAAAACCGGACCGGACCGGTCGGTTCGACCAGTTGAACCGTCGACCGGTCGGGGTTCCGGTCCGGATGGACCCTCTAAACCGGCCAGAAATGAAAACCGGCGTTTTTAAGGAGAACCGGAAAAACCAGCGGTTGGACCGGCGAACCGGTCGACCCGAAGCCAGTTCGCCGGGTTGATCCGAATCGGAATTTTTTTTTTTAAATTTTCTTTCTTTCTTTCTTATTTTATATATATATATACATACATATAATATAAGAATATAAGAAAATTTTAATTTGAAACTCTTTTTCAAGAGTCTCCTCTTGTGAGGAATCCCATTAAGAGTTTGATGAAATTATTGTGAAAGTCTTCACCTATTTATAAGAAAAAAATTCTTTCAAAAAAACTCAAGAAATCCATGTGGGATTCAATCAAATGTATTGGAGGGAATATTGAAATTTTCATATCCCTCCAAAATTTTTGCTCTCCTTTCAATCAAATTATTTGAATTAAAATCATATGGAGGGAATATTAAATATTTGATTTCATCTTCCAAAATTGAAATTAATAATATTTTAAAATATATTATTATATTTTTCAGTAAAAAAAATATTAAGACAAATATTTAAGATAATTTAATATTTTTAATTTATAATTTTATTACTTATATTTTTAATTAAATATAATTTTAATATATTTATTACGTCACGGTTTGATTCCGGTTCAACCCGACGGTTGAACCGGTGACCCGTCCACCCGATCCCTTTTCCGGTTCACTCACCGGTCCGGTTTTTAAAACATTGACTCCACCAATCTATGTGAGCTGATTTTATGCGCTCACATGGACAATTAATTTTTCTCAGCCTTTTCTTGATCCTAATTTAGTTACATCCTGAACTAAGCTTTTTGAGAAGATCTCATTCTAAGAATTTGATTGCTTCAATTTGTTCAGTAAACCATAAAGAGAAAATTTATGAATTCAATTAATTTTTTTTTATTTAAAATCAATTTATTTAAGGGTCCTATTTGGCCAGAAAAGAGGCAAAACATTATGACCCCATCGTCATTGTCACCTCCTCTATATTTGTGCACGCACTTATATCCTCTTCCAAGTGTGTATATGTTTCTTTTTCTGGGGGTGTCTCTTGGAAATAGTCTGTTGTAAACCTAGCATCCAATTCTCAGTTTAACCATCCAATTCTCAGTTTAACCTCAACCCTTCTTTCCCGCTTAAAGTTTCTCATGTTTATTTTTCATTTGTAATTTCTGAAATATATTGCAACCTAAAATTTGACTACTGCCTTGCAGCCTGCAATTGCTGTTGCAATTAGGGAACAACTATATGAGGTTGGAATGTAACGCTCCTTTTGTCATACATTTTTGGTGGACATTATCAAACCTAGCTATTTTACGTCTCCTTACTATTTTAGTACATGTGCTAGATTGCAATCCAAAGTGTAGCTTCAGCAAGGGAAACTAGAATAAACAAGAAGGGTCGCAGAGGGGCTGAACAATTCCCAGCCAGGTTTGTGTTATTGCTTTTACTTTATCTGTTGTTGATCCTATTTGGTTTTGGTTGGGAAGATTGACTACTATCTGATTAACAATGTGAATATAGGTTTGAATATATGTCTGCTTTGTCTTTGTTGCTTCTCCCTAACCAAATTCTTTATCTTCCATCATCTCTCTCTCTCTCTCTCTCTCTCAGTAAGGCAGGTGGAACTGCAGTAGACTTGATGAAGTTATTTGGTAACAAATCAAGTGCCATTCGGTAAGGCCTGTTAATTTCCTGCATTTTATAACTTACCAATATATATATATATATTGTTGAGCTTGTCATATTAAAGTTCTTGGTCAACATGCCTAGTATTGAGCTTTGTAGTCAACAACAATTTTCAATAGGAGGTATAAGTAGTAGGAAGCGTCTAACACATGGCATTAATCTTTTTTTTTTATGGCATTAAAATTAAAATTTGAATATCCATTGTGGATATCAATTGTACATTAATGATACAATTAGAATTAGTTCCATACAGGAGATTGACTGTAAATCTCTTGGTGCTTCTTCAGGAAGAGAAGGGAATGGGATGTCTATGAACCCATTGTTGATATTCTGTCGAATGAGGAAGTAGATGCCCTTGAAGCAAGAGAAGAGAGGGATGCTCGAACATGAAATTTCTGTTCATTTATGTACCTAAAAAGTAACTAAAGCCACCATGACCACACCATATTCTCCATGAATGTTTTGAGAATATGCAAAGGCATTTGTATGTCAGGAGAGGGGAAGAGAAGATCAAGGTAAAGGACTATAAGCAAAAGATTATTACTATTATATATATGTATATATATATTTTTTTGTGATTTGATTGTCAGATCTCTGTTTATGAAGGTGAAAAAACCATTCTCCTTCAACCTATATGCTTCCATTTGAAAGAAAAACTCCAACGCCACCCCGCCAATTTTGCAAAATCCTGAGGCTCACAGAACGTAAACCCAATTAATCTTATCGATTAGAACCCAATTAATCTTATCGATTAGAACGTAAACCCCAACCTCACAGAAGCTTTACATGACTTTTCATTCATTCACACCACTTCATATCGACAGAGAGTTACTAATCCACACACAAATCCCACCCTCCCGGCCAAAAGCATCTTCTTTGATGATGGGAGAGAAGGAATAAAATTTCATTTTCTTAACAAACGAAATCAACTTTTATGTTTAATTACAGGAATTCAATAAATTCTGTAAATCATTTATAATTGTTTGAAATAAAAAATAGACACCTAACGTTTAGAAAAAAAATTCTAAACGTTATTCACTTCTACGGTTTTGTGTTTGCAAAAAGAAAAGATAAAAAAGGCAATTTTCCTTTTTTGAAAATATAAAAAACAAGCCAGCTAGGTGCAAGTTTGCATCTGTCTCTTTGACGTATTATATTCCTGTAATCAAACAGTGATGTTGGTTTCTCTTGTATAGAAAAAGAAAATGAGTTATGCTAGGGTCTTAAATAAATTACTAAATTTTTTACCAAACTACACGTGATTTGTGTAGGTTCCATACCTATGTGAGAGGTTTGGTAAAAAATTTGATAATTCATTTGGGGTCTATAGTATTTTTCAAAGAAAATCTTCATTCCTTCCTCAGTCACTCCCTCCGACCACCACCCATTGCTCAGCGCCATCACCAATCCCCACATCTGGTTACTTGCACCTCAGACCACTGTTGCCATCGACTTCCATTGGCTACAACACATGCAATAAACAAATATCAGAAAAAGCCTTGGCAACCTCCTCCAATGGCCAGAATCATGTTAAACCACACCTTTTTTCTGAAAACAAACACCGACTAGCTCTTGACACAAATCATCGGAGCCCTAAATTATAGTGAAGAAAAAAAAGAAGATTCAGAAAACGATCTCTTTGAATGCAACCCCTGGTAGCTCCTTTAATGGCTTGAATAACCAATCAGATCAACACAAAATCAACTCTTAGTTATACTCTCTTTTTATTCCATAAATTTCATTGTCAGCTGAAAAGAAACACACACAAAAGGAAAAAAGAAAAAAGAAATTCCGAAATATCAAATAAATTTGTTCAATATCCACCAAGTTATGTTCATATCTTGCATATACACAGGAAAATACACACTTGTAAAAAAGAAACACAGATCAAGCAAGATGAGTTGGCAGGCATGATAAGCTAAGTCAGGTCATCTTCATCCAGTGCCTCCTCTTGTTCTTTGGCTGCATCAACCCTCAGTGCACTCACATCACCAGTTGGCAACTTCCTTGCAAGCCTGATGATCTGCAGCCATTTATTTATTTTGGTAAAAAGCATCCATAAAATTATGCATTTGCCAAATACCTTCTATAAGAAACATACGTGTCAGTAGTAATAATAGCTATTTAACATAAGATGATGCTAATAGTATAGTGGAAAGCTTTTTTCTGACTAGTTCCCTTCATTCTCCCTTCCCTCTTTTGACATTCAGCTATTTCCAGCAGCCAGAAAAGGGATCTTAACAACCAAAAAGTGTTAAAATAAGAGAACTAGACGGTCAATTGGCTGATGCTTGAATACAATGGAAGGAACATTTCCAACCAAAAAGAAAATAATGACGGTGTTAACACAAAAACAAAATGCCAAACAGGAACACTCTTGAAAAGAAAGTGACGACGGAGGAGAGAAGTGGGTTGAACATCTTGTTCACATTTTTAAACTCACTGGTCTATTACCTTTTGTGGGGGGTGGGGATGCAACACGGTATTGTACTGTAATTGAGACCGTAAATTTGCTATACCCCTGAACTATTTAACTTAAATAACTAGTTGGAGAATCTTATTTGTTCATTGCAAATAAGATTGGAAGAGTTAAAAATAGAACACTGGCATAAAAAATAAAAAATAAAAATAAAAATAAAAAAACCAATTGGAAGAGTACTATTGAAGTCGCATTTTGGGATCAGTGCTGAGCTCAACCACATTTCTGCCTCTGAAGGATGGCTTTTCTTGGTACACGTACATATTCTAAAAATGCTATGGTGTGAGATAACTGATAGTGTGGTACCTCATCAAAGTACTTGAGAATGCAAAACTATATCAATTATCATCTAAGCTACATGGAATCGAATAGGAGTGTCGGGTGAAGGTGTGTATCTAAGTGTCAGATTTTCATAAATTTAAATCTTAGGATCTTGGGATACGTATCCAAAATTGGATATGAGTACCGGGATGTGTCATATACGCATATATATATTGCACATTATATAATATAATATTTTTGTATGAGATGTTGTAAATTATGTGGAAATATACTACAAATTAAATCGGATTTAGGAAAAATACAAAATTTCTATATCTAATTCATGTGAGGCTAAAAATATTGTTTTACTAGCAAATGTGAGTTTTTTCTTCTTCATGTGTTGTAACAAATTAAAGGATCTAAGTGTCTAAATTAGATATGAGTGTCGGACACATCCCACACCCTCCTTACCCATGTCATATCTGGTGGGCACAAGTATGCTGGGAGGAAATAGATGAGCCCATGTAACATAGATTATCATTTACTAACTTTGATCTCATTTCCCTCCTAGAACCACAAAAGCAAATAAGGATGAGGATGATCTTCAACCTTTTTTTTTTTTTTTTTGACGAACAATGATCTTCAACCTTGAGGTTCAACTTTCTAACTACTTATTGACAACTACATTCTTGCAACCACCGTTATCAATGATCATACTGTAAATGCAGCCGTCAATGTTGCAAGTGGTGTAAAAGATATTGGTACACAATCATTATCTTCATTTTCTTGCTTAGGTGTAAGAGGAGTCTTCTTGACCATGAGTTCAATCTCGACTATTTCCGATTTAATGCCTCACTAGTTGGACGGTCAGCAACTTGGCAACCCGTCAACTTTTGGGAATATGTCAGGTTAATGTCCCCGCCTACCCCCAGCTTGTCCAGCAGTTCTATCAAAATATGTTTACAAATCCCGATTTCCGTAATTGTTTGAGGATCATAGTCGACAGCATTACCCTCACCATCCATCCCGAGGACTTGGCCACTATCCTTGGGTGCCACCGCACACATCTCCGCAACTCCTCATTCCAAGACTATGATGACAAACTGCTAGTCACTCATCTCATACAGACTGACTTTCTAGACAGTGTGGGCGATGCTAGTCATACTTTTGTTCACCGCCACAATTTGCCACCCCGGCTTTGGTTGATTGATGTCATTTTCTGGCAGAACATTATTCCTTTGGGATATAAGGAGGAGTGTTGCGGTGCTTTTATTTGGGCTCTTTATCACTTTGAGTTCAAATTTTGGGTCGATGTCACGCAGCTTATTTGGGATCAGATGTACGAAATCATGACAAATGTGCAAATCAAGCAAACCTAGAGCTCTCAAACTTGGATTCTTCCATTCACCAACTTGATCACTCACCTCTTCCGCCGTCACTCAAGCTGTCAGTTTGATCCTAAGGAGGAGGTCATGGAGGTCTTGCAGTATACCAAGCAGACTTAGCTTCACAGTTTGTCTCGCATGCCACCTCTTCAAATGTAGCCTCTCGCCACCCATGTTGACCCTGAGGGTTTGGGTGATGATGTTCCCATGGCCGATCCTACATATGGCATTGCGGCCAACGCTCCTACTGATCCACCTGCACCCGTCTTTATAACTTGTGCTGATTATAAGGCCCTTCATCATGAGCACATCTACCTTCAACAATATGTTGATACCCTTCAGACCGATTTCTCAGCTTATCGGGACCTCTCAGTAGCGTTACGATGCCTTTCAGGCATATATGTAGCAGTCCTTTGTTGATATGTAGGCTCTTATGCATTCTCTTTTGCGGAGTACCACCCACCACCACCACCACCACCGTCACCTCAGTGACACCATACTCTTCATTGCTCTGTTCTTCTCAAGCTATGCTATCACTATTCTCCACACTACGGATATTTCCCTTTTCTCTTTCTTTTGTTTGATTTATTTTTTGTCGAGTTTGTATATATATATTTGTTTAACTTTCCTTGCTCTGCACCTCCTATCTTCTCGTATATATATTTTCTCATGTGGCATATCGGGTCTTCCATTGCAGGTCATTGTGCTCCACCGTTAGGGGTGTTTCTCTCACTTGCTCTTCTCCCACTTCTGACTACTTTGGTGCTCTTCTCTCCTTCTCTTGGTCGCTTAATTTCCTTGTTATTTGCCAGTGAGGGCATTGCCATGTTTAGTTGGGGGTTTTGGGGGTTTTGGGGGAGGGGGGGGAGGGGGGGATTGTTGACGTTGTTGTCATATATTTGCACTTAGGCTTGGTCAATGGGATTTATGCTTATTATAGAGTTCATATGTGAATATGGTTGTACTACACTCTTGACCGTTTTGACCATCCTAGTTTGCTTAGGCCTTCGATTGATGGTGCGTGAGTTAGATATTTTTGGGTTATTCATAACCTATGAAATATAAATTCATAACCTATGAAATATAAATTCATTTCGGTATCATTGCATGAGGATTGTTAGTATCACTAGTCACTTTGTGCACTTACATGCACACATTTGGTTATGGTAGTTGAAGCCGACATTTCCAATCATGTGTTGCTTCCAACTGCTTATGATTACTTAGGTTTTGAGAGATTAACATGGGTTCTTGTATAAAAAAACAAAAAACAAAAAACAAAAAACAAAAAACAAAAAAAAAATTGACTAGTTTAGGTTTGTAGCATTTTTAACTTGAGTTATTAAGCCTGTTGGGATGTCTCTACACCTAGTGCCCTAAGTCCATCTGGATTGGGAGTCATTGGCCTAACACTTGCTACAAAGGTTAATTAGAAAGCTTAAGGGACCTAGACATTGTACAGTGTAGCCTTTTTAAGTTGAGTTATTAAGCCAGTTGGGGTGTCTCTACACCTAGTGCTCTAGATTCGTCTAGATTGAGAGTCATTGGCCTAAAACTTGTTACATGGGTTAGTTAGAAAACTTAAAAGATTCATTCATTAAGGGAAAAAAGAAAAAGAAAAGAAAATTTGGGACCCGTGTTTGATTTCAAAGATTCAAGACACTTAGTTTGTTGGGAGTTAGTACATAAGTAAGAGATGTTGCCTTTCACTCCACACCAAATCTCACTTTACACGAAAGCAACATGTGATACATTCCATCTGATTGTGATTCGATGCTGTTTGTTTGCATATTTATGGGCTCATGAATAGTTTGAAAATCCATCTGACTTGTTTGCTTGAAATTGATCATTAGTAAGGGGCTGGTTTTGATGAAAAGGGAGTGGTGCCAAGTATTTGTGTATAAACCTGTGCTAAATTTCAATTCCTTCAATCAAGTATGATGTTTGTGGGTACAATCTCTAGAAACCCTCACGAGACTTCACTCATCCACTTGGGTAACATTGTGGTTTAAAAGACTTGTTGCATATACTAAATGTAATCGTGAGCCCTACAAAAGTGGCTCAGATAGGTTTTGTTTTGTTTTGTTTTGTTTTGCTTTACTCGAGGACTAGTAGTGTGTAAGTTGGGGGGGAGTGATCTAAACCAAAATATTACACTTTAAAACTCTCTAGCTTATATTTTTAGTCTTTTAGCTTATGATATTTGACACAATAAAGTATTTTTCTTCCGCTTCAAGGTAATATCACTCTAGACACAAAAGGATTGCAAAAAGAGTGAAAATCCATGATTGAATAGATCTGCTCAAGCAGAATTCACAATCCGCACGAGCAGATTTTCTTGAGCCAAGTTTCACCTCTAGGTTGATCCGCTTGAGCAGAATATTTAAACCGCACGAGTGGATTTGCTTTGTTTTGCATGCACGCGTTTTTGACTCAAAATTGATTGGAGGTGATAAAAAGAGATTTTGGGCACTTGTTTTTGGATCCAAAACCCTAGAGAAGTCTGCTAGAAGCTAGAGAAGAAAAACAATCATCAATCCATGTCGTTCTCTTCAACCTTCAAAGTGTTTAATCTCTCCATGAGTATCTAAGCTTTCTTCTTAGGATTGAGATGAAACTCTAATCAAGTATCATGTAATTTTGTATTTTAATTCTAGTTTTTCTTTGGAATTGGATAATCATTGTATGATCGCTTTTAGATATTTTGTTCAAACAATCTTTTCATTCGATTTATGTATTCAATTTCTGTGATTGAGAATGCATGATCATGCAATTGTTTTACTTTTTTGTATATACAAACTGTGAGGTGAGTCATGCTTAGGGAAGATGAGTTGTGTCGTAACCCTAGTTTAGTGTGGACGATTCATACCAACCAAAGATGATTCGTGCCTACGTTTTGAATATACTCATCCTCTTGGCGATGTTATCGCAGGTTGTAGCGAAGATACATCATTATTATCCGGGCCATTGATTTACTAGAATTGGGTGTTTAAATTACGTGATATGCGATTAGTACTGGATTCGAGATCCTAAGTCTCTCTTCCAATTCGGAACAACTCTTTTTAATTGTAATTAATTTAGTTTTAATTTAAATTCTCATTAGTAAAAATCAATCATCCTCTCTTCTTCAAATTAATTTAGAAATTGTCAATTGAATTGATACAACTCAGCCCAAAGTCCTCGTGGTTCGATATCTGGACAATCCACTGTTCTGCTGAATTAGTATTTTGTTTAGTTCTTTATTTTTTATTGAAAAACGACTGATCAAGCAAGTCCATCTTCCTCACTATCCCCTCTAAACTCTCCATTAGATGGTTGGTCATAAATAAGAACGTCATCATTGCAATCTTGCTTCACTACTTTCTTAATAGGAAGCGCTTTGCTCTTGTTATTGCCCAAAGTCTTGCGACAATCCAAAGACCTATGACCCAGGTCTCCACACTTAAAAGAACTTAAAACCACAACTTTGGGGTGAATTCCGGCTTCCGAAAACCCCATTAGTGCGTTGAATTTTCACCGAGGCAGACCCATCCACACTATTCGATGAAAGACTAAGGACTAGCCTTGGAAGCAGGCAGTGGATTAGCCCAGCCTAAAACCACCTTGGATATGCCCTCGAAGGTGTTGTCTTATCCTATAAACACCTTGGCTTTGTTGCTTCTCAACTGTCAAAGCTCTATTGTAAGGCCTGAAGATGGACCACAAAGTGTGTAGAACATGCACATTTTGAATATAAGGCTCCAAGTTGCTAATAGATCTTGCAGCTATTTGTTCCTCACTCTCATTGAGGCCAACTCGAACAAGAAGTTTGTGGAATGTTTCTGTGTACTCCTCAAGGCTCCATGTTGCTTGAGGTTATATAAGTTCTTGTAAAAGGTTTGCAAGTAATTGAAATGCAAGAATTGCTTCTTGAGTTTCTTTATTTCTCTCTCTTAGATCTTGCCCTTGTGTCAAGGTGTGCCCATCCAAGGGTCAACACCTTGATGCCACACTCATTTGTGCCATTTGAAGAGCCAAAAGCATGCCCAAGAAGTTGTTAGTGTAAGTGCAAGCCAAGGTCCAAGGCATGCCATAAAGCAGCCCAACCACAGCAGGCCACAGACTTGCCTGCCCAGCAGCAACATTAGGCCAACTTTTGGAGGGTCAAATGTCATCTTTTTGTCTTGTAAATTTTTATGTAAATACCTTAGTATTAAAGGTGTTTTGGGTCTAAGTATTGTAATTTTTCTCTTTTTGTAGAATTTTTAAAAATCCATTATGACTCCTCAAATATAGTGGATGTTTCCTCTTACCAACTAGGAAATGGCTTAACAAGCTATATTAAGGAGGGGGTACCCAAGTGTTGAACCAAACCACTTGCGCCTTTAAAGTACCCCGACCTAGCCAATGGTAAGACAACTTTTGTAGCACTTTTGGTGCATTGTTCAACTATTGTAATGACTTTTTTTGATCAATGAAAAGTTTATTTCGCCTTTAAATTGTACAAAGTTTTTCTAGTGTTGCTTGCTTTAATTTTAGCTTGTTGATTGCTATCTTATGGCTTGTCTCCAAACTTATTGGCTTATCAACTAATTAGTATTGTGTTTGCTTGTCTTTACAAACCCTTTGAGCATTATTGGCGGGCTAGTGAAGAGAGTTAACTAGCGCCACATACACTTGCATATCTATTGGCAAGGCTTTTACACAGCCGGTGTGTGACAGTTGGTATTAGAGCCCAGTCTATTTGGCTTTCTCTATTATTGGCTTTCTAAATGGATGCTGCTGGCAACATCAACCCATGCAAATGGAGAGAATTAAGCTCTTAGAGCAGCGTATGGACAATATGGATGCCTTGGCAACTTCATTAGCCAACCTTGAGCGACGGTTCATGATCTTAAGAAAACTCATGGCCTTACTCAAGGGCAAGATTGGGAGGATGTTGTCACTGAACTCAAGCTAGAGATTGAAGATCTTAGTGGCCGGGTTGGTGTTCTTACCCGTGCCTTTGGCAACGCACCTGGTGGTGGCATGGAATTCCCTAGGGTGCGTGTGCCCGAGCCCCGTGCCTACGGTGGCGCCTGAGATGCCAAGGAGTTAGACAACTTCTTTTCAACATGGAGCAATATTTCAAAGCTGTGAAAGCTGAAGCTGAGGAGACAAGGATTTCTATGGCCACAATGTATTTGTCCAGTGATGCCAAGTTGTGGTGGAGGACTAAACATGATGAGATGCAACGCGACTTATGCATAATTGAGACTTCAGAGCAATTTAAGTATGAACTTAAACTCCAATTCTTCCCTGAAAATGTTGAGTATAATGCCCAGCGTGCTTTGCGAGATCTCACACACACCGGCACTATAAGAGATTATGTGAAACAATTCTCTGGGCTTATGCTAGACATCAAAGACATGTCAAAGAAAGACAAGCTCTTCTTCTTTCTTGAGAGATTGAAGCCATGGGCTAGAGTTGAACTTCAAAGGCAAAGAGTGCAAGATTTAGCCCATGCACAAGCAGCAACTAAGTGCCTTATGAACTACGCCGAACCTAAGCAACGGGGATAGTGGTTCCCCGCGTAAGAGTAGGAGAGGTGGAAAGTCCCAAGGCTATGGCAAACCTAAGAATGGAGGAGCCAACACTTTTACATCCAAAACCCATTCAGGTGGAGGACAATGGCAACAAAAGAGCTATGGTGACAAGGCAAAAGCCCCTCAACAATTATCTACAAGCAAAGCAAAGGGCCCTATCTCTTGTTTCTTATGCAATGGGCCACATTGGTTATCTGAATGTCCATAAAAGTGTGCCTTGAATGCTTTAGCAACGGTATTTGACCATATCTCTCAACCAAGTGACTATGATAGTGAGGAAGAAGACGTGCTGTCTAGGCAAAGTGGCAAGGGTTCTAAGGTAGCTGGCTCTAGAGTGGGAGCCTTTCATATGATGAATGCCATGGAGAAGAAGGCGTCTACAAAAAGGCCTAAGAAAAATGCTAGGAGTGGCAAAGTAGGCAAGTATTCGGATCCTAAACAGCTTGTGGAGTCTAAAGATAAAGGCAAAGTGAAGAAGTCCATGTATAGTTGGGAATAATCAGGCAAGTTGAACAAGAGCAAGTCATCCAACAAAGGTTTGATGTTTGTGGATGTAAAACTCAATGGGAAGCCCCTCCGTGCTTTGATTGACACAGGGGCCACCCACGACTTTGTTGTTGGGACGAAAGTTGAAAGACTTGGGCTATCTTTAAAGAAGGATGGCAACCACATCAAGGAGGTTAACTCGGCAGCGCAGCCCATTTATGGGGTTGCAAAATCTATTCATTTGAAGGACAGCACTTAGGAAGAAAGAGTA